GTGACCGTTATATAGGTCACCCCGAGAAGAGAGCGCGGGGTTATTTTACTGCACATAGGGACAATAAACATGTACTACCGATTTTACTATTATAGCCAACGTGTAGTTTCGTCTTCTTCAATGACTCGGCTACAAGACCTTTGTTTGTATCTTCTGTTCGTGTTTTCTTGGCTTAATAAAGAGGACCTGTCATAGATTACAACTGTCCTCCTTTTAAAGGGATAGTCATTCTTGGGTGCAAGTTACTCTTCTTCCCATATTTCTGGTCTATTGAAGATCTCAATAAATAAGTGAAATAACCAAAAGTGTTAAATGGCTGAACGTCACATCCATTGTCTATGGCAGCCTTTCTCAACCTTGTTTTATAGTCACCTTACCCTTTATAATATGCAAGCTATCGACACACCCCAGTCTAATACATTAATGTCACCATCCCCAAAATACAGTCCACATCCTCATCCTAGATAGCGGTTTCTATGGAGATTACATCACATCAGAGTTCTCCCTTCACATCAGAGTCCCCCCTTGACATCAGAGTTCTCCCTTGACATCAGAGTTCTCCCTTGGCATCTGAGTTCCCACTTGACATCAGTTGTCCCCCCTTGACATCAGAGTCCCCCTTCACATAAGAGTCCCTCCTTCACATCAGAGTCTTCCCTTCACATCAGAGTCCCCTCTTCGTTTCAGAGTCCTACCATCACATCACAGTCCCCTCATCACTTCAGAGCCTTCACATCAGAGCGTGGCTGCAGCAGCATGGTAGAGTGTGGCAGAAGATGCAACACCTCAGTACCATGCAAACGTACGGTATGACACTGCACAAAAATTTCCCAGCACCCCCAAGGAAGTGACACATACCTCTCTGATCAGCACCTGTTCAGGGTTTGAACCTGGGTCTCTGAGGGGCGGGCTTCCGATGACCGCAATGCCGAACGGGCAGTGTGCGCTTGCGCACAAAGGCCCGTCCGGCTTTTATCATATGAACATGCTACACACCCGCTGAACATCGTACGATGCTCGGCGGGTTTTCGAACATGTTCGTAAGTTAAAAGTCGTGCGACCTTCCACACACCTTACGATAATCGTACGATCGCAGGATTTCCCTCCCCCCGCTCCATACTAGGCCACATGCCCTTGACATGGGGAGGGGGCTTTGCCAGTGGGGGGACCCCATGGAAAAGCACCTTGTCCCCATGTCAATGAGGTCAAGGGCCTCTTCCCCACAACCCTGGCTCGGTGGTTGTGGAGGTCTGTGGGCAGGGGGCTGGGTTGCCACCTATTCTTCAAGAGAAATCCGAACACTCTAGCGCCGCAAGACGAGAGGCAACCAGGAGAAAAAGCAAGAAGAGACAGCCAAGGGGAGTGAGTAAGGACACTCTCTATAGAGGACTACAAATCCCAGCAATACATTATACAGCAATACAAAATAATATGAAGCTACATACTATGTTTTTTCTGGGGCACCCTGATGTCTCCAGGGTCTCAGGTGGCCTGTGCGGGCTCTCACCAGGGCTGTGCGGGCTCTCATGTGGACTCTCTGGGCTTTCAAAAGGGCTGTGTGGCCTCTCAGGTGGACTGTGTGGCCTCTCAGGTGGGCTTTGCGGACAGTTTTGTGTCATACAGACAGTGGAAGAGATGTGTGGGCCAGCCTGCGCCTGTTTACAAGTGCCTGCAGCTCACAAGAAGATGTGGCCTCAAGCAGACGCGGCTGCCTGAGGTCCCACGCATGCTTGGGGCCTCCTCAGCTGCATCTATACAACAATTTAAAGTGCCAGCATTGGCACTTAGTGTCTTGTGTCGGGGTGTCAGCTGGCTGGAAACCCTGGGGGGGGGGGGGGCTTATCTAAATCTGGGTGCCCCTTTTAAAAAGGGGCACCCAGATGCCGCCCTTCCTCGTACATGAGTTAGGGGTATTTGTAAAAAAAAAGTCAAATTGTATATAAACACGCAGCACTGTAAAAAAGCCCTTTATTTGGAAAAAAAAAAAAGGTTTTTGACAATTCCTTTATGCCACAAAAAAAAAATGTCTATCGATGGAATCCACAGGTCAATCATGATGTCCAGCGATGTAGATCCTTGTCAATTACAATGAATGACAGAGCTGAGGCGCATAGTACTAGTGGCGATAATGCCATGTAAACAGCATTTACCCAGCTTTGCACTGGGCGGAAGGGTTATCCCTCAGCCAAGCCAACCAAGTCTCAATCTTATGGGTAAAGTTACTTTCACTCCTTTGCCTTTTATTGCACTTTATTAAAAAAGAGCTGTTTGCTGTATCTTTGGTGCTGTTTCCAGAAAAGCACACCTTCCATAGGCATGAACTGACCATATGCATAATGTGCCTAAAGGCACCGGACCAACTGCAATGCATGAAAAACACAACGGTGTGAATGTGGCCTAAATCCCAACTACAAATTAGTAGGATCCCTCCAGAGGTTGATAGGCCTGACAGAGATCGAGTTCTAAAATAGCTTAAAGTGGAACTATGGGAGAAATCATAAATGACATATCTGTTGCAGTCTTTCAATAGGATTAGCATGGTATTTTATTGTTCGGAGTCTCCCTGTAACAGTTTTATTAACTGTTGGTCATCCCAGTAGAGGCATTTTTTCTTAGCGGGCCAAGCTGTCCGGCAAAAGCGCTAGTTACAGAGGTTAGGAGAAACCATTTAACACTGACAGGGGAGCTTACAATGATCACATTTAATTCATGTGCCTTAGCCTTTTTCCCAAAAGAAAAACTGTTGGTATAACTGCTTAAAGGAGAACTATGAGGTGAGTGCTTTTCACTCACCTCATAGTTCTAGCCGACCTGTGACAATGAGACTGTCACAGGTCGGCTCAGTAGATCGGGAGGTGAGCGAACACATACCGGGTTCGCTCACCTCTCGATCCTTTCACGGCTCTCTGCCGTGACAGGGGAGGGGCTGGATTCCCCCCTCCCCGCTCCGATCCGCCAGCGCTGACTGGCGGAACAGACAGGAGAGGGGGCGTGTACAGCTGGCTCTGCCTCTAGATAGGCAGAGCCAGCTGTCAGTCACGCAGCTGGGCCGATCCAGACATAATTGTCGGCGTCTCAGTATACCGCAAGCTACAGCTCGCGGTATACTGAGCCTAGGGTGACGGGAGGACGCTAGTTTGTGTCCTCCCGTTACCCTAAGGATAACTATGGGGAAAAGCCCTAACCCCATAGTTCTCCTTTAAAATGTGTTTGGTGTGTTTAATTTGTCTGTCTCGTACTTAATGTCCATTTCCATCCAAGACTACCCTTTCCAGATGATGACAGCGCTGCTGTGCGATTTCACAGCAGAACAAACAGCGGCATCACTCTATTACAGGAACTGGAAGACTTACAGATCTATTGGATCACCAGGGAATATATATGTTCCTGGGAGGAAGATGTGAGAACTGGATCTATCAGACAGACAGAATGATCTAGTTTTCACTGAAAACGGGTCACACTGAAGCCCAGCTGTCAGCAACCTGCTGCTTCTGCGCATGCGCCAAGTCCCGTTTCCCGTACTATTCAGAGGACACTTGCGCGCATTAGGGCGCCACGCACTGGGCGCGGAAAAGCGCGCAAAATGGTGCATAGGAAGTGACGCACTTGATCTATTGGCTTCCCTATTTAAGCTCACCCTGCACACTAACTCATTGCTGGATTGTCTCTTCAACCGACCTGAAGTCTTGTGTCCTTTGATCCCAGTTTCTCGTGATACCTGCCTGTTTGCTTCGACCCGGATTTACTTTGACCCGGTTTGCCTGCAGCCTGCCTTTGACCACGGATTGTTTTGACCATTCTTGCCTGCCACCTGCCTTTGACCACGGATTGTTTACTGGACTGCCTTTGCCTCATCCTCGTGTACCTTCTCTGCCTGCTCAGTCTGACCTCGGCTTGTTGACCCTGGATTTCGGATTACCCCAGTTCTGCTGCAGATCCCAATCTTCAGCTTGCACGGTATTACAGCACTCATCTAGCCCTAATTCGGGCTACAAAGTCCAACTCTTTCTGAATTTACTGCTTATGGTTGCTCAAGTCCTCAAGTGGGGAACGAGGAGTCTAATTCTCCTGAAATGCATTGGCTGTATCTGACAACAATATTAAAGTGGACTTTTACACTCAAAAATCAAATACTACCAATGCATCCCTCCATGTCTTATGATTAATAATAACATAGATATGTCAGGTGTAAAATGCTGTGATTATGAAATATTTACACTTGCAGAGCATTAACTTCCTGCTTTGAAATGACAAAATGACTTCAGTTTGCCAACGCAATGCACACTGAGTTTGCCTTATCATCAGCAGAGCATTGCTGGGAAATCTCATCTGTAATCTCATGAGATCTCGGGGAAAGGCATTTTCCTCCCCTGAGATGATGTGCATGGTCACATGTCTAGTCACATGTGCCAGAAATCCAGGAAGTAATAGGAGAGCTAGTAATCTGCCCTTGGTAAACATGACCAATGTCAGAAGACTGGGGAAGAAAAGAGAAATAAGGTATGTAAAGAATACAAGCCGGCAATTATCTAGAAGTATGTGTTTGTAGATTGTCATTACTAAACATTTCTAAAGGTGTGTTTGTTATTTTAAAGATCTGGGTAAAGGTCCGCTTTAAAGTAAACGACCTAAACAAACCTTCAAGCGAGAACCATTTTTTATAAGGTATGCCTAACCATACATCCAGGATTTGAACTTCTGTTGAGCGACCCCCTCCTATCGCGACCAGAGAGGCAGCAGCTTTGGGCCATAACCAGATCCACACACAACACACACTGTAATTACGGGTTACCCCCTTGAAGGGGTACATTCCCATTTTTTCAGATTTACATGAACACTGATCCCTAGTCCTACTAATCAAGCATTACTATAGATCTATCAGTTGTATCAGATCGAGTTTTTCTTTTTCTACTCGGGGAGTGTTATGAATATTGATATGAAGAGAAAGAGAGCATTTTAAGCACTTGTTTAACAATTTCAACTGTAAGGACAGGTACTTACAATGTTAGACAAAAAGTGGCCTACAGAAACTAAAAAATAAATATGGATGGTTACTATAGGGAACAGCTCTACATTTTGTCTTCTTTGCCTAGTGACAGCTTGACAAGTCCTATGCAGATTTCCCAGATGACCTTCTAAGAGGTACCTACAGACTCCATGGATGATCTACTGGCAGGAGATGGCAAACTTGGACCATAGTGTTTACTCACAGTATGCTTCTCGCAATAGAAAGGGTAGATTGCTCAGTACATAATGGAATCTGAAAAGGACAAAGCCAAGGGTAGCCAAACATCAGCCCACCATCTGTTGAGGAACTTTAAGTCCCATAAGGATTTGTGAGACTGACAGCCACAGGCATGCCTTCCAGAGACAGATGCATGATGGGATTTGTGATTTCACCACAGCTGAAGGGCCAAAGTTTGTCTACCACTGCCTTCAGTGACTTGATATATTGATATCTTGGGAGGAAATAGGGAGTAGGCAGATAGCATTAAGTTTTTTTTAATTTTATTTTTTAATGTGGATTCCATCAAATATTGTTTTGTAATATAATGGCATTGTCATGTGACAGTTTATAATGTATATGTGCATACTTTCTTTCACAAATTTTTTATTGAGTATTTTTTGGATAAGCAGCAGTAACAAAGTGTAGGAATATCTCATACAATGTAGCTTACACAGCAGTCATATAGGAACATACAAAACATGTTCGAATGATATTTGAACAATTGATTCAAATAATATCATATATAGGGTAAATAACTCAATTAAACAATCAATAGTATAGGGTATAAGAAGGACTTAAGGGGGTAAGGAGTTATGAACTATTCCCGTAGTTGACGTTTCTTTAGCACATGGGAAATTATTTCCTGTGTAAGTGGGGGTAAAGGGGATGGGGTACCAATGGAAGAGTGGGTAAAGGCAAGTAATGTTTACCTTCACCCTACATTAGGAGAATAATAAATTGTAATGCTCTATTTCATTTAAGATTATAAAAACTGACAGAAGAACGTCGATGGAAAGCAGGATTCGTCAAACAGCTCCATTAGTAGTAGACAATTAAATTTGTAATTGGGTAGGGTCAAAATGGCGTGTGCTTGCATAGGAGATCCATGCCTCCCAAATTTCCTCGAATTTGACATAAGAATCAGACAAGATTGCGGTTAACTGTTCATTAATCATTGTGTTAGTGATGCGATTTTTAACCTCCAGGAAACTAAGCTTGAATTCAGAGCCCCCTGACGACCTGAGACCTTCTTATCGCTTACAAGCTCTTCAACTCCTGCAGTCTCAACAATTTCATTGATCCACAGATGGATGACTGCCATCCAAGTACTATTCAACAGAGGTTCCCCTTTCCCTGGTTCCCTGACTCCAAGACCTGGAATCCAGAATTAAACCCAACTGCCAAAACCCAGGAAATCTTCTCTTTAATAGAAGAAGAATATATATTATTTTTTTTTTCAGGTCAATTTTCTTACAACCTTTTTGTGAACCATTCGTATAAACATTTATACATGAAGGTAATATGTGCGTACTTTCAATTCAATATTTTTGTAACAAACTATTGGATTTTATGAATATACAGTATATTCATAAAATATGGGCGCCTAAAAAGTCCAAAGTTAGTGTAACCCAATTCTGGGTCAAGCTTAAAAATTAAGGGTGTCAGAGCTTTATCTTTAGTGTGGAAGAAGTGGAAAGAAAGAGCTGGAATTCCTATGTTCATCCTATTGGTGTGGCTGACCAACTAGGATGTGAAAGAGTCGGTATAGGTGATCTGACCACTGGACAGGCAGGTTCTACATCCCAGAGGATCTCCACTGTCTCCTTGGCTTGTGGAGTCACATTGTAAGATTGTGAATCAAGCAAACCCTTTAATTTTATTTCAAGTAATTCTGAGATCATCTTTATTATATGACGGTATTTTCCTCATGTCTGTTATCGGCATTGGGCTCCCAATAGCAGATGGTTCCTTTTGCAGAAAGCCTTTTCATAGTGCTGTTTTGTTGGACACAGCAGATAGTTGTTCAAAAGTGGTGCACATATAATAATGTTTTGTGATTGCTCTGATATGTTAAACTGGCAAATGCACTTCATAATACCGTTTTCTTTAAGGGAATTTTAAAGTGTTATTAAATCCACCTAAGTAAGAGCCATATAGTGCTGCAGATCTCAGGATCTACCATCTTTGCTGGGTGGTATTCATTTTAAGCCTGTGGTTGAGTTGCATTCATTATCTGAAGAAGCTCTCTTCCCTTTCTTCTGTTCATGGGTGTCTCCGTCCCCATAAGGGATCTCATGGAGCCACCTTTGCATGAGCGCTCCTGGCTGGTGTAATGGATGTGGTTAAGTATGATTATGACAAAATGCCTATCTCAATAGATCAATTGTAATATATATGTTATTTTGCTATTTGTCAATAACAAGCAATGCTCCCCTAAATGCAAAATCCCATAAGATGGAGCTGTCTATAATAGAAAAACAGGCAGTACAATGTATCAAAATTTAATGAAAAAATAGAAAACAACATTAAACAAAATCGCATCAAAAAACCACCAACTGACAAAGACATTTAAAATCAATAAAAGGCAAGTCCTCCTTAGTATGGCCCGAGTGAAAAAAGGTGCAGTTGAAAATGTATTTTGACCAAATAAATGGTCAAAAAACTAACTTTAAGTACAAGCGCTGTATAGAAAAAGCAGATACATATGTATCAAATGGAGAGCTACTCACTGTACAGTGTATTTGGATGGTTAGGCAGTCCCTGCAGGAAGTAGTATTGAAGCTGTGTCCGCTGTGTCCACACGATCCAGACTCTGAAATCTGTTTCAATCAATTGTGGTGATGTGATCAAGATGGAAAGGTGCTGCAAGGTCTCCACACTGACATCCACCTGCAGGGTGATCCACAATCTATGTTGCTGGATGAGGTTTAAAGATTTTATTCCACACATGCAGGTGCACTTGAAGGCGCAGATAAAAGGAAATCCATGAGTCAGATATCACTTGCGTGGCAGGTTGAAAATCTGTCAGTGTTGTCACAGCCGGTATATTAAACACATCGCCGGCTGGGACGCAGGTTTCCAAGTCCACCACTTCTATGTTGTAGCTTGATTTGCTTATAGTGAGAAAACTTCAAAAAGAACTTCATGAGTAGTAGGAGCCACTGCTCGTTTAATACGAGTGATCTAATGAGATCACTCGTATTAAAGCCGAGCAGCAGCGGCGGCAATCACGTTCAGCAGTAGGAGCCACTGCTCGTTCAATACGAGTGATCTAATGAGATCACTCGTATTAAAACCGAGCAGCGGCGACGATCGAGATCACCATAGAGCAGACGAAGAACGGACTTTCTTCGTCTGTTCTGTGTGATCACTGAGACCGTGGCGCTGTAAACACAGCGCCACCTGTCTCAGCGGTCACTAACTGCAGCTTCTGTCACAGCTTCTGTCATAGAAGCTGTGTCAGAAGCTACAGTCTGTCGAGTGCTACATAAGGCGCGCCGGACCTCCCTGCGTTCTATGGTCCGGTGCGTCTAATGGACCGCAAAATACGGTAAGTTGGAAGACAAACCATTCCCCTACTCCTCCCTGTGCCTGCACAGTCCCATTTTAGCAACTACATGTTTAGTATTTAGGGAACGCGTTCCCCTACCCGAAAGTATGGGAAAAAAGCACTCTGTAACAGAGGCGGCAGTGGATTTTTTAAATTAAACAATGTAAATGTTTGCCTTAATACCAAACTCATTTTGTATTGGGGAATGGTTAATGCATTCCAAGTAACGTGAATATTTAAAAAAAATGCAGCATTTAATACTACTTTAACAAACATATGTCAAAAACATAAGTATCTGGTTCTTGATTACAAGTTCTGGTAGATGTACATTGTTGGTATTATAAGCAATGCTCATGTCCCAAGCGTCAACCACGGCCACCGGAAGGTCGCTGAAGACGTCCTTTACTATCAGGTACTGGATATATCCGTGGAAGTCACTGAATCTCTCGGCATCTTCACTGATCTCTCTGGTGTTCTCTGCTTTAATAATAACCTTTGTGTCTGGACTGCGTGAGAAGAGGCGTTGTACAGCCCTGTGAACATTGAGAACTCTCCTGATGAAAAGAAGAATAGGGAAAGGTCGGAAGTGTTGTCCAAGACAGATGACCAGGACGTAATGTGGACCACCAGCCAATCGGTCAATCTCCTGACTCATATAAGCGTCGTCTTTGACTGTGTAAAATCGACTCGCGACAAATGGGTGGCTGTGCTTTTTCCAGAGTAGCTGAATGTTGTTCTTCTCATTGACGGCAAAAAGTAGAGAGATCAGTCCCTGACGTTGCAGATTGAAATTCCTGAATCCTGGTAATATAAAAAATAGTTTTTTCAATGTGCACTTAAAGAGATCCTGCCCCCATACCATTAAAGTGCATGTTATCCCCAAAAATCCTGGCTCATATTTGTATGTGCAGCACTGCCAGTTTTATTGACATGCCCCCCCTGCTCAGCCCTGCTGTGTTGTCTAACAAAGGCCCCTTGCAAGAGAACCTAGTGACAACACAGCAGCCCTTCCTAGAGTACAGCAGTGACGTTAGCATACATCATGCCTGCCTCTTAGCAAACTGGCATGCCCAATGCCATGCAGAAGATCAACCAAAAGGAAGGCTGTGCGGTCCTGTCACTACAATGTAAAACTCCACAAAAAGTACATAAACTATATATTCGATGAAGCTACGTGTGCTTAGTGTACACTTTTATTATTTCCTTTCTTAATATGTGATTTCGTCATAGTGCATTAGCATATACTGTTCTTTAAAGTTGAACTCTTGGAATGATCTTTTTTTTTAAACTTACATTGGACCTGCTTGGTTGTATCTAAAGCTTCATATTTTACATCCGGAAGGCCACTCAGGATGCAATGATTCACTGTAGGAGCCTGTGCTAGATACAGTCAGTGAAGGTCTCTTTCAGGTGTTGCTCCAGTGACTTGCTGTCTGTATAATGAACACAGTGTTTCGCTCGCTTGGCACCTCAATCATTCAGAGAGCGTCTTGTATTTTTTTCAATGAATACAAGGCATTCTCTGATTGAATGAGAACGAGAGGAAGGGGTAGATGACATCAAGATCTCCTCCTTGTCCAATCAAACAAAAACATTTGAAAATAGAAAACTAGTCCACCCACCACATCCAAGAACTGGTAAGCTGCAATATATTACATTTTTGTTCATGGTTTTAGATACACTTGAAAGTGCACCTGTCACAAAGTAATCATGTAGGCTGCTTTTGTTGACCTCTTCTCTTCTAATAGGAATACTAGATCCCTGGCTGTCATACTGATGATTTGGTATCCACACTTTGAGTCACTGACTGGAAAAAGCATGCTTGTTTCACGTCTCTGGCAGACTACCCTTCTGAGAAACCTTTTAGAGGGCAGCTAAACTGCCATGTGCAGACATTCAAAAGGTAGCCCATTCCAGAATGCCTGTTTTTTTTTTTCATCCCAAGGGGGATTTTACATTGCAAAATCATGCCACAAATGCGTGCCAAGCGTTTGGCAGTTTAGTTTGCCCATTCGGTGAACCTTGAACAGCTAAAGTTTGGTCTGAACGCTCCATCGATAAATATTTGGAGTTCATCCCTAACGCATTGGGTTCTTATAGTGGAATTCATACTTGATTTAGACACCAAATTTCCTTCTAGTAGATACCCTGCAACAAGCTACCAGCACCTAAAAAGTTATGTATTAAAAATAAAATATATCTCCAATCAAAATGTCTAAGCTAGTGTGAAGCATCTATGTTTTTTCATCATCATATATACTGTATCTGCGGTTTTCAACTGGTGGGTCGCGACCCAAAAGTGTCTCACAGCACTGTGTTCAGTGGATTGCCACTTGCCTTCCACTGCACTAGGTGAGGGGCTCCTCAGCCTCACCCTTGCGCAGCACTGTCAGTCCTCATGCCAAGCAGCCATTAAAAATATGCTGCCCGGCGTCGAGTGTCAGCTTGAGGTGGGATGGGCTGCGGGTATGGCCACAAGGGGTCTCCATACATACGTGCATTGCTTACAGCTCCCTCACGTGTCCTGTAGAGGTGCCTGGTCTGGAGTGGCTCCCGGAACCCCTATAGGGCGCGCAAGGCAGCTGTACAAGCAATGTACATATGAATGGTACTCACAGCACAACAGCCCACACTGGACCCCAGGCTGATGATCCACTCCAGTTCTTGTAAGGTAGGGTGACTGGGTGGATCTTAACACAAAAAAAATCTCTTTGAAGTGTGTATATGTGTGTCAGAATGTCTGTCTGAGTGTGTGAGATTGTGTCTGTTGTTGTGTGTCTGTCAGTGTTTTTGAGGGCCCGTTCACAACAGTACAGTGCGTTAATTGCACAGTCCGGTGCAATTAATGCACTGTACCATGCAATCACACGTAACACTTTTTTTTGGTGCAGGAGGTGCATTGTGATTCATCTGAATGCCACCCCAAACTCACCTCCTACCCACAGTTCGATCGCCAACACCAGAACACGCAGTAAAGCAATACCATGCGCTCCAGTGCAGTGCAACTTGGGTCGCGACTTAATAACCAAGGACAAATGTGGGTCCTGAGGTTGAGAACCACTGTTATATAGACTACTGTAACAACATATGCTTTACCTTTCACTATACTAGTTAAACTGTAGAACCATTGGCGCAAGGTTGAGTCTCCCAAAATATGCACCATCTTGTCCTGCAAACAGGTGTATATCTTCTCTTGAGTGCTAAAGTTTAATATTTCACAAAATGCAGGTCTCCACATATTCTTAAATACAAATCCACTGGGAAAGAGGGATTTCATTCCAATTGTACATGGTTGTAGATGTGAGGAAAATTCTAAGGAAATGAAGAAAACAAGTGACAACAATTTACAAATATTTTCTAAAAGCGTATCTTAATAAACATCTTTTCTGGTGTTGGATAGAGTACGGAAGATTTCGGGCTACTGTTTGTTTTTATCACTGTTTTCTGCTCCTAGCTGGGGGAGATTCACCCCTCTGTTTGTCTTGGTGACCATTGTCACTGAGACAGAACAATCCAAAATTGTACAAATGTCACTACAAGAGTTAGAGGGGACATTTTCAAGTGGGGACACCTGTTCCAGGGATAAATGTATGATGCTATCAACAAACACTGACATTTTCAAACAATGTCAACTACTTGTAACCAGCTTTTAATTGCAGAGCAAATTATTTTACATATTTCCAAATATATCCAACCTTCGGCTGGGACTAGGCTTTAATCTGCCACAGAGTAAAAAGTTTTTCTTTGGGTCTCCTAAAGTTCTGCTTTATACACTATATTGCCAACAGTATTGGGACGCCTGCGTTTACATGAACTTTAATGGCATCCCAGTCTTAGTCCGTAGGGTTCAATATTGAGTTGGCCCACTCTTTGCAGCTATAACAGCTTCAACTCTTCTCTCTTCTGGGAAGGCGTTTCCCAGTTGCTTCCACTTTGTTATAATACCACTAACAGTTGACTGCGGGAATATTTAGTAGCAAGTAAACTTCACAGAACGCCTGAATCCAATGATTTGGAGGGGTGTCCCAATACTTTTGGCAATATAGTGTTTGTCTAATACACTATAGGTGCTTTTTGAGTCCCATAATGTTGAGTACTTGTATTTCTCTCATTTGCAATATATAGATACTGTGGTCAGTTTTGGCAAGGGTTACATTCCAAATGGCAACAACTAACCAGGACATTTTATTGGTATCTATCTACCAGTAGCTGCCTCATTTCCCACCCTCGGCTTATATTCGGGTCAATACTTTTTCCCAGTTTTTTTTGCTAAAATTAGGTACCTCGGCTTATATTCGGGACGGCTTATACTCGAGAATATACGGTAGTAAAATTCCACCTTCTTTACAATTGCAACATGCTAGGCTTGGCTTTACTTATATTTTTATGGAAACCCAACTGCACTAAAGGGGGCAGGACACAGCAGTGCTCTGCCTTTTAGTGGATTCACCATATGAGTATCATTAAACGAACTGCTGCAGATGACACCAGAAGTTCAGCTGAACATGAAAGCTTGGTTTTAGGGCCGGAGGGACATATGGTCTCCAGTGGTTTAGAGAGTTGTAAATACTTGGTAGGAGATTCAAATCTGCCTATGTACCCAAAAGAGAAATAGATCTTTTTGGGCTGCGCTCTTCTACAATACAATAATGCCAGTAGTACACGTCTGCCCTAGAGATGAGCACCGCTTGACCAGGCAAAAAGCATTTACAGATCAATGGCAGCCTCCATTTTTCTCACATCGGGTTGTAAAGGATTTTGATAGGGAAAGACAAGAAAACTTACTTGAACACGTGGATACTTTTAAGGGTCCAAAATCTGCAGGAATATTGACCCCTATATTTTGCCTAAAAATTAGCACAAGAGATATTTTCAATGTATTTGTTAAACCAGATTTATACTAAAAATAGTTGTTAATGAGGGAACAGTGAACCTGCATGATCACCATTCCCAGTTTTATGTTATTTGAAGTCCTTTGATTTATTATAGTACCACTACACAAATTTGGGGAACTGTTAGACCCATAAAGTTGCTAGTAAACCATCCCCCAGTTTAAATGTCTTTGTCTCAGAAGGGTGGTACCCCCCTGGATCTGGTGCCCATTCTCCTTCCCTCCCCCACTGTGAGGACTGGTCGGGACCAAGGATCAGGTACTGGGGGTAGTCCCACTGCAAGGGAATGTTTTTTTAAATTCCCGGAGATCTTCTTTAAGCAATAACTAAAGTTCTGCTTTATGATTGTTGCTCCTTCTTAATAAACTGTACGCAAAGTGCTATAGTTTTTTTTAATTATTTTTAAGTCTGAGGAAACAGAAAATCATAGGGATCCTTGTCTGCATCCAGCATGTAAACAAAGCCTTAAAGCCCAACTCCAGAACTGCGGCAAAAATAAATAATGGTGCCCTCCAGCATATACATAATAATATAATGCTAGTTTATTCTAGGGGTTTATTAAAGTGACATTAAAGGTAAAACTTTTTGTTAATGTAAGGACTTACCTTAAATGATGTCTCCTTATCCGACTATCCTCTTTCCTGTAGTTTTCAGGAGTTCCTCCAGCGCCGGTGCCTTTCCCCGATCCAGCGCTGACTTCTCTGTCTTCCTGGCACTTTCTGTGCCACGTAGTCTGTGCGGGTGCACGCTGCCTGCATTCACTTACCTTGTGTCTCTGCTCGTCTCCCGGCCGAAGATCTGAACTGCGCATGCGTCCGCCCCAAGATCCTGTGCGGCTGCCCGAGGATCTTCAGATGTTCGGACAGGAGCGCGCGGCTCCTGTCTACTTAGATCTACTTGCTTGCTAGCAGTAGATATATGCAAATAAATAGGATTTAAATATAATTTAAAGACAAATACTTTACACCCTAAATATAAAATATTGTATAAATAATTGTGCGCATGTTTTTGGCCGCCAGATGGGAGTCCTGGACTTATATTGTTTTTCTCTACAGCCTGTTGACAAAACTGTTTTTTAGGCTTCAACAGCTCTAGCTGAATTTTGCACACAGAAAGGGATGACTTACTGTAGTGACTTATCCACTGTCAATGGCTGAGCCCAAAGTTTCAGTCAGACAAAGCTTGCAAGCAGGCAGCATCTGCATTGCTGTCCCTTTAGATAATGCACAGTGCTCTGGGAATCCCTTGTTATGTATCTAATGTTTATTTGTAAAGCAAAGATTGTATATAGATACTAAAGTCCGATATAAAACAAAAAATATATGTAGTCAAATGCCTAAAATACAATTGACCATAAATGAAAGTCTCAACATTATTTTGAATCACCACTAGATGTCTCACTAGCTTATGACATAACAGAAAATTTTATTACCATGTCGCTTTGCAGGCATGTTATTGTATACATCACTGTCAACTAAATTTCTTAAAGGGTATTTCCAATTTTGCATCTAAAGAACGGGAGAACCTTCCTCTATATATTTGCCAAGTGTTCCCAATTTGACAGTATACCTAAAATAATAAATATTTCTGACCTTTCTAGCTGATCCGTTGGAGCTGGATTATATATAGGACTCTACAGGCAGCTTCTACAGGTCAGAATAGATGCTTGTGAGCTAATAAGGGACTGACTAAGGGATAGTTTTTTAAAGTTCATTAACATATGATAGCTTCAAGCCTTTAACCCCTTGTTAGGCTAGTCTTTCTCATCTAGTTTACAAGTGATGATGAAATCAAAACAAAACTTCCCCCAATGTCCCAGACAGTGAGAACAAAGCAGGATTTTTCAGTCCTGGAGTTTGAAAAATATCAAGTAGATCTTATCCCAATTAGGCTGCAAAAGTGTAAATACACTTTAGGGGCTTCATGTATAAAACTTTCTATTCTTGTCATCGCCATCAAGAGCGCTACTGCCATGAGAAAGGCATCCGCCCAGCTATACACCTTTCCCATAGCAGTAACGCTCTTGATGGCAATGACAAGAATAGGAAGTTTTATACATGAAGCCCTAAGTGTCCCCAAACGAAAAATGTTATGGTCTGTAGAAACACTTTACATTTTAATTTCAATTTCCTTTTTATAATACATATAGCACATATGTACATACATAGCTGATTACACTTCAAAGTATGGACTGATATTCCAAAGACTGGTAACTACCCATTCCCCTTAACAATGACTACATACCCCACCACCAGCAGAAACTGATAAGCACCTACAACATCCTGCATCTAGTGTTAATATATACCTGTTATTTACAGTGACACTAAATTCAGGAGTTAAATCTTATAAATACATGCAAGTACCTCAACTATTAACAAAAATGTATCTTTGTGTATCACTCCGCTGTAGATCCTCAAATGAACTTCAAATTCATGGCGACACTGTCCTTCCTTCTGGAGGGTGGCTTAGGGTTGCCACCTTTTCTTCAAGCGAAACCCGAACTCCCTAGCTACGCACGGAAATTTTTGTGGGAGAATGAGCTGTGGCTTCTTCATATGTAAATAGCGCCACCCATTCATATGTAAATATCACAGTTGAGACTATTTTCAGTGGGGGGCCAGTAGCCCCTATCGTAATTTTGTTTGCCCCTGTCTGCCTGACATCATGTGTCCGGGTTTCTGCTGCCATGAAACCTGGACACAGCATTCAAAACCCGAACTGTCCGGGTGAATCCTGGACAGGTGGCAACCCTAGGGTGGCTACTTTTGTTCCCCATGGTCTTTGTGTGTGCGTTGTAAAGTAGCCACCGCTCCAAGTTTGCTTCCATAAAAGACTACAATCTCATGTTTAGTTTAGTAATTTATCAGGAACTTCCGGGTAGAGAGAGATTCCCTTTGACCGGCAGTGCCGTGAAGGAGCATTGAGCTGGCTTCCCGGCCAATCAGGAAACCGGGCCATGACCCACCTCCCTGATTGGCTAGGAAACCGGCTTCACTTGTTGCTAGGCTGCCTGACCATTCAGGAAGCCAGGTGGCACATAATGACCTGCCTCACGGCTTCCTGATTGGCTAAGAAGCTGGCTTTACTTGCTGCTAGGCAGTCTGGCTTCCTGACTAATCAGGAAGCCGGGCAGCATGTCATGAACTGCCGCCTGGCTTCTTGATTGGCCAGGAAGCCTCACAGTGTCATGAGGGAACGTGAAGACGGTGTTCTTTCAATAGAACACTGGCTTCCCAGCTTCATGACCCGCTGCCCGGCTTCCTGATAAGCCAGGTCCACAGTACCTCGGGATGCTGGTATTGGCATTCGGTATCGGTACATCCCTACTAATTTGTAATGAAATTGTAGCCCAACATGGGAGCAAGTTGAAGAGGTGGCAACTGGGCTTTAAAAACTTTAAAACATAATGAAGTGGAACAGTTTACCTTTTAAAAAGGCTTTTCTCCTCTTCTGAAAGGAATGAGATATTTCTGTTGTGGGACTGGAGAATTGTTAATGATTCACAGTGGACGTCTCTTGGTTTCTTGCAATAAAAAGATTCCATGTCTTCGTTGTATCTATATTCACAAACATCGTTGGTCCTCTTTAGTTTAAATCCGCATTCAGTCTTGACTTGGCGTGTCCCATTCTGAAAGGTTCCTATGAAATCAATAAGACCATAGTCCCGGTTCCTCACTCTCCACAATACGGAAACAGCCTCACTGGGATGATAGAGTACCAAGGAAACATAGACTTTTCCTTCCCAAAATAAAGTAAAATGGACATGATAGGTCCCATTGGAAAAGTCTTCAACCCTCCCACTTGCTGCAGCCTTAAGGTTTGGAGAAGATATTCTTGCTTTGATGAAGTCTCCTCCATATGTTTTTTTATTACCCAATCTGTCAAACATGTCAATCTGGACAATCAATATGTCACCAACACAATACGTCTTTCTTGGCTCAAATATGGTTGCCCTGCTGTTCTTGGCGCTTGTTGTGTAATTAACGTTGGTGAATGTGACTTTAGGGACTAGTTCTGACATTTTGTTGAAAACTGTAAGCTCATCTTCTGATGGTGTGATAGGATTATAAAATGCAACCTCATTGGTGGGGGTGTTTTGTTTTAAAAATAGCATTATGTAGGAATCCTAAAAACAAATTAGAAAAAAAAACCAGTAAATATATAAACATTTCTTCTGAGGTTAATTTTAAAACTTATCTATACCCAAAAGCAAAAGTGTAATATTGCTGTTTCCAATCCTCAAATGTGGTGGCTGTATTAGTTTTTTTTTAGGCTTCTTTCCTTTATTTTCACCTGGTGATCCGGTCAGTGTGAGGTCATTCACATAGGTGTGCACTTCTGTACGGCATGCATGCCCATGCAGAGTCCCGTGAGTAATTGCGTGCAGCAGCCTGTAGCTCTCTATGGGAGGATGCGGCTGCAGTTATACGCAGACATGAGCCTACACATCCATGAGGGTCCGGGCAGGGCTGGATTTCCCACATGGCCAACCAAGGCCTGGCCTTGGGGCAGCAGGGAGTAGAGGGGCAGCAGGGGTGTGGAATTCTTATCTCGCGATGCCCGGGACATGCAGTTCCGGGTGGCAGGCGGGTAGTTTTCTACATTTAGCCCTGCTTCGGGCAAGCAGAGCTAGATGTACAGCGGGGAAGCCACTGCTTGTTTTGTACAGGTGATCTCGGTGATTTCTGAGGGCGCATTGGCAGCTGGCCTTGGGGGCACCTGGCCTTGGGGCAGCAGAGAGTAAATCCGGCCCTGGGTCTGGGTGCCCGCACCTGGACACTGTCTGCCGGGCCAGATTTACCATTGGGCACGTGCCTACAGGCACCCTCCATAGAGGGGCACTGTGCAGAAATAACAAATCTGCCTCATTCAGAATCGTTATTTCTGTCATTCGGAAATTTTTTATGCATCCGAATGTCCGAATTTACAGAAATTCATGCGAATTTCAATTCAGAATGAACCGAATTACACATGTCCAATTCCTAAAAGGTAATTAAAATGTTGTTGTAACTGCTTAAAAAAGGTATTGGCTGAAGTTTGGATATAGTTTTAGTCAAGTCCATCTAAATCTACTTAGCCTCCCCCTAGTGCAGCACTGCCAGTTCTCACGCCAAGCAAAATATGGTCCGAGTGTCAGTTTGAGGTGGGGCAGGCTGGGCTTATGGCAGCGAGGGAGCTCCATCCATACATGCATGCATTGCTTATAGCTCCCTCGCATTTAGTGTAGAGATGCCCGGACCAGAGCGACGTCACATTCTGGCTCCCGCAAAAAGTTTCCCAGCATACCCACCAGCCAGCATGCAAAAAAACTTGTCTACCACTAAGGTTAAAAACAGAGGTTTAGATACACGTCTTCTGCTGAATATGTGAAAGCCGCACCGCCTCCCGAAGGCATCTCTATATAGTGCGGTCCTAACTCTAATCTATGTTTTGCTTGATATTCTGGCTCCCGACACCTCTACTGGGCACGCAAGGGAGCTGTACCAGCAATGCACGTATAGATGGAGCTCAATCACAGCACAGCACCCCACACTGGGTCCCAGGCTCCACTCCGCTCGATCCACTCCAGGTCTCATAAGATAGGGAGACTGGTAGATAATGTTTTTTGGAGTGTGTATGTGTGTGTGAGAATGTGTCTGTCAGTGTTTTTAAGGGCCCGTTCACACTAGTACAGTGCATTAATCGCACAGTCTGATGTGGTAGGTGTGTTGCATTGCCATTCATTTGAATGGCACCCCAAACACACCTCCCACACACAATTTGATCAGCTGCACCGGAATGCGTTACATTGCAGTGCGACTTTGGGTCATGACTCAATGACCAAGGGCAAATGTTGGTCCTGAAGTTACACAGGTTGAAAAGCACTGCTTTACTATATTAAACCACTAGATGTCATCTTTGCACTACGTTATGCTTCATCTTCACTGCTGATGAATTTTTCTAAGGCATGTGTTCTAAATAGCAGTGATAGATAAACTGCCAGTAAATGTTTGGTGTATGTCACATTCTTCTTTATAAATATGTCCCTTAAAGTCTTCTATATTATATATTTTTTTCCACTGGAGCTTAATAAAAACACATTTAACATTGCATATTTAAAAAAAAAAAAGTAAATGTACTTTTAATAGTACCTTTTTTGATTTCATATCTGCCCTGTTGTAATGCCCTGTGCAGCCGGACTGAGTAAGAGGAAAGGATAATACTGCCGAACAGGCTCTATTGCATTGCACAGTGTAACCCAAAACGATTGCTGATGGGTGGAGAGATCACAGAGTGTCATTAGTCAGCTGCTGTTCCTATGCCCCCCAGTCACAGGCTTGGGTAATGCCATATCCAAGCTACAGGGGGGTCAGGTCAAAGTCAAGTCATGGAGCTGGCTATGCTGTCCTACATGAATGAGTATATCTGAAGACTGGCCAGGGGTGTCCCGAGGCGTCAGGAGCGACCGCTAGGGGGACACCGCGCTGGCACGTCATCACACACGCGCCTGACGTGCATTATGGCGTCATTCGCGCTTACCTGCAGTTGGCCATCTTGATGATGGGTGCCATTGTTCTGGTAGAACCCTGGACCCCTTAAAAATCTGTACCCACACGTCACTTCCGGGGGGCATGGAGGGGGCATTGGCTCAATGCGCAAACTCAGACCCGCTGATTGGATCCAGAAATGTCGCTGCCAATTGCGCATGTGCAGGGAAGTGGTGCCTTGTCTGTAAATTATCTGGACCCGCTTACCAGCACATGCATAACACAGGCAAATAGCCTGGGATAATGTTTTGATCCAGATTTCTAACCAACTGCAGGGTTCTGTTACAACACCGGCAAAGAGAAGAGGGGACGTTCACCTGGCGGATGAGGTATGTCACCGGGTCCCTTCCTCTCTCGTGCCACCGTCGGGGCTCCCGGGTCCATGACCAAGTGCCTGACTTACTTTTCAGAGGGGGTAACAGCAAAATGACTGTCATTTTAGTGTCACTCCATCCAATGGTGTCACCTGGTGTGGGCTGCACCCCCCTTAGAATGGCTAAATAGAATTACAAATCTTTAGACAGATACAGTTTACATACAGTTCGTATTAAACCTATGAATTTTGCTGTGTCCTTATAGCTCTGTCTATATTGTCCTTTGTGAGGACCAAAGATAGCCATGCATGATATAATCAGATTGAACACTGTCCTTTCGCCTTTATCGATAACTGTACAGTTAGAAGTCCTATCGGGTTGAATATAAACAGAGATGTGGTGTCTTTATATATAAGAGTACTTGACCAGTTAGACCATCTTTTGCAATAACTTAATAGACATGTAAATGTTGTTTATTTTCGAATGGTTATCGCATGAATTTTGTTCAATTTGGACATTCGGATGCATCTGAATTCTAACTGTCCGAATGCAAACGAATCTGAATGCTCGTTTAACGAAAATTTTGATCCGTCTGAATTTCGTTTAAAATTAAACTAATTCGGACGAGATTGTTTTCTAGCCAATCAAATAGTTTTTTTTGGCTGTTAGAGGTTGCATCACAGGCACGATCATGTAACTACGCTTCAAAGCGAAAACTCAGACGGATCCGAAATCTGGGAAAGAATTTGGAGGCGTATGAACAGGTCTATGGAGAAATTCATGCCTTTTGTAGGTGGTTTTTCTTATAGGCATGTGGATCTGGAGGGTGGTATTCATGTTCTTTACACCTCTCCGATGTTGGTATTGACATTTTCAACCTTGCTTTACAAAACTGTATTGAAATGGCCGGGGTGGGGGTGCCAGGCTTTAGTTAAAGCCTGGCTTGTAGGGACATTTTGAAAATTAATTTTCTCTTTTATTGTTTTTTGATTGGTGTGCTTGGGCTTTTCTAGCTAAGCACTAGTTGTTTATTTGGTTGAGTTATCTTTAATAAAGTTATGATAGAAATGAAAGAAAATACACGGCCATTTCTTTCCATAACAAGAGTGTTAGTGTTTTTATTTTAAATTTTAGAGTTTGGTTTGTGTTTAGCATTCAAAATGTCACTTGCAGTTCCATGTGTTGCACCCTTATAGATAGCGCAGTTCCCTTATCATGCCGTATGTAGTAAGTACAGATGTTGTATACAGTGCTCACATAGAGACATTAGACAAATTATTATCTTACGTCATAGAGCATGCAAAGTGCTAATTACCATGTATATTATATCTACATGATAGATTAGAGCACTCCCAGGTGACGCAGTTGATATGGTGCTGAGGACGGCGCCTATCCCCGCACAGATGTGAGAGAGCTGGGAACAGGACCTGAGTGACGTGATAGGGGGATGATTCATGATATGAATACGATGATTCATGATATGAATACGGCGCCGATCTAGAAGGTTTAAAGAGACTATCCTACCTATCATCACAAGTTACAATTGTTCACTCCATCTATGATGATTGATAGACATATGCATATACAGTGTATATTATATTGAAAATGGCAGGAATATGACGTCATTGTGGCGTCAAAAGGGGAGTGACACTTATTTTAGATTGGGTCACTGGTTTGCACTGTCATTTATATATTTCTGCACATTTTTTTTTGGGTGTTCACTCTTTGTTAGCCTGAAGAAGGGACCTTGCGGTTCTGAAACGTCGCTATTACGATTTGACACTACAGACGTCAATAAAATATTGACTAATGATCAAGTTGGAGTGTGAGTGACTTTCCTATATTTGTTCAGAGACACAACACCAACACTGATGTCTATCAGACCTGCAGTGCTGATGTTGGCAGGGGCAGAAGTACAGTGAGATGTACTACCCAGTGAAAATGAACTGTTTTTAAGCTGTTTGAAAAGTGATGACATATGTGGTAAACACATATTTAGCTTTTTCAAAGTGCCCCTGAAATCATAAGTGAAGAATTACTATGTTATTGGGAACATCTAGAAATGTTAATTGCAGTATCCTGAAAAATGTGTTTGGGATTTCTCCTGAAAAATAGCCGTACACTTTTTTTTTTTTTTTGGGCAGTACTGTGGCTTGAGCCTCATAGCTGTATATCTGCAGTGTGAGATTTGGTGATATCACTATTGTGCAGCTCATTGTTCTCCTTACTGAAGAGGAAGCTGTATCTAAGGACCTGCAGACAAGTATCTTCTTGCCTCTGCATCATTCATTCTATGGATCTGTGCTGCCTCTACTGCTGGTGCCTAATTGGTGTTTTATTGTTCCTACATAGGTCACCAGACCCCTAGTCATTAGGCAGGTGGCTCTGATATGAGGAAGCAAAGCCCTGCTTCTATACTAAGATGACCACCTTTAGCAGAGACACATTGGGAAACAAGGAATGGTAAGTCAGTAATGGGGAAAAAAACAGCTGCAGGGAGTCTACAAAGAAATAGATGACTAGTAGTTTGTCCTTTCTTTGCCTTTTTTGGACTCCACTTCCATAATTCAGGCTTAAGCTATATAAATTACGGTGCCCGGAGTTGGACACTATTCTAACAGTGTATGGCCAGCTTTAGTAATGATATTGTGGTGGAGCTGCCATGCCAAATCTAAGGGCAGGAAGGGGAGATAATCTCTAGTTTAACATTTCTCAACCTTTTTTTCTGTCACGGCACCCATTGAAAAATTTACAACATATAAAGTTTAACAATGAAGAAAATTACTCGTGGCCTCTCCATAATTCATACCAGAGCCTTCTCCTAGATCGATGATTGATCCATCCTGGATATGCCCGTTTTCATTAACGGGCATATCCAGGGGGGTCTGGTATGAATTTTAAGTGGGAACTCCATAAAAAAAAAGGATTTCTCCCTTCACATTCCCCCCCCCTTGTATCAGCAGCCCCCCTTCACATCAGAACCCTTTTATTTCACATGAAAGTTCCCTCTCTCGCACTAGGAGCCCCCTCCTTTCATATCAAAAGCTTCCCTTTTACATCACAAGCTCCCCTTTACATCAGAGCACTCCTTTCACATCTTAGATCTCCTTTCACATCAGGAGTCCTGTTCAGATTAAACGCCTGCCTGCATCATAGAAAGGTATTACACTGTGCAAAAATGTCAAAGCACACCCGGCGAAGCCAAAAGGCACCACATGTTGTTCAACATACTGAAGAGGAAGCTGTATCTGTGGACCTGCAGACAAGCATCTAATTGCCTCTGCTTCATTCTATGGATTTGTGCTCCCTCTACTGCTGCTGCTGCTGCTTAATTGGTGCTTTATTGTTCCTACATAGGTCACTAGACCTCTATTAGGGAGGTAGCTCTGATATGAGGAAGCAAGCCCTGCAGACACACTGGAAAACAAGGTATGGTAAGTCAGTAATGAGAAAAAGAACAGCTGCAGGGAGTCTGCAAAGGAATACTGGCGGTGCATTAGAGCAGCCTTTCCTGGTTGAGATTATGGGGTTGATTTACTAACCTTATAAACACACCACGAACATGTACTGTATACACCTCTGCAGTGTGTTCCCTCCCAGCACGATCTATGGGTGGAATCTAAACACCTTTGTAGTGTGTACACACCCAGCAGGTGTGTTGTGCAAAGCCAAGCATGAATTGTTGTGTAAATTAGCTCTATGTTGTGTTGCTTGCGTTGATGAATGCAGGAATGTAAACGCATGAGCTAACCATTTTTGTCTAAACTGTGAAGCAGCATTATATATGCATCATGTGCATGATTTTTCCATATATGGCATTCGTGGAAATATGCTTTTAGAGACTTTTTGGTTGATAAATACGTTTTGCTGTGTGAAAATCGCATGCACCTGGTGCGTGCGTGTGTTTAGGTTAGTAAATCACCCCCAATGGGTCAGATGATATCATGATGGATAAAACAAAAAACTGGTTTATAATGTGGCAAAGACAACATCAGTAAAGGAGACTAATGCTAACTGAAGTCGTGTCAGAAAAAAAGACTAGACCGTCTGCAGCCAGAGCCTTAGTCATGTAACTCCGCTATTGATTATGAAAGTCATAAATGAGCTGACGTCTAAATTCCTGCGCAATAAATAGCCTAAAGCCTTTTACCTTGTTTGCTTATGGCGACACCCCTCCCTCATAATACTGCAATTAAAAACTGTGAAAGTGAACATTGTACAGACAAGTTATTATTTATTATTTATTATTATTGTTATTATTATACAGGAATGTGGCACCAACAGCTTACATTAGTTACACTACAATTCAAAACAAGACAGGAGTGCCCCTTGAGAAACTGAGCACAAACGTGTTCATTTGAATAAATTTCTCAATCGCCACAAATATATACTGTACATCCACTTTGTTTGCATTAAATATGTATACAAACCTGGTAAAACTAGTGATAGTAAAAATAGTGATATCATCACTGTGCTGTATAAAGTCTGTGCAGAGACCAGAGCTGTAGGAGGCCCCATCCACTACAAGCTGCCTGCAGAAAAATACAGGAGGCAGGGGCGTAACTAGAAATCACAGGGGCGTAACTAGCAAAATTTTGTATGGGGCCCTGTGATTTCTAGTTACACCCCTTGAAGAGCCCACAAAGCTCACCTGAGGGTGACCCTGCAGAGCCCACCATAGACATTCTTCCTCCGTCGCCGGGCCCGCTCCGTCTGCCTGGGTCGTTATGGCTATTGTTACGCCACTGACAGGAGGGGACGGAGAGAAGACCAGTCACCCTGCACAAGGAGAGAACAGCAGTGACTGGTGTTTTATTACAAGAGGAGGAGGAGACAAGACCAGTCA